GCCACCCCTTTTATTCAATGTAGTACTGAAAGTTCTAGCCACAGATCAGACAAGAACAAGAAATAAAAGGTTTTCAAGTTGGAGAAAATAAAACTGTCATTATTTACAGATGAAATGATATTGTACACAGAAAACCCTGTGTACACAATGACTCCACCAGGAAACGAATAGATTTAATAAGTGAATTTGGCAAGGTAGTAGGATACAAAATCAACATCTAGAAATTAATGGCAATTTTATACACCAATATTGAACTCTCAGAAAGAGAAACTAAGAAAACAATCCCGCTGAAACCAGTTTGGTTCAGTGGATAGAGCATCGGACTACAGACTGAAAGGTCCCAGGTTCGATTCCGGTCAAGGGCATGTACCTGGGTTGCGGGCATATCCCCAGTGGGAGATGTGCAGGAGGCAGCTGATCGATGTTCTCTCTCATCCATGTTTCTAACTCTCTATCTCTCTCCCTTTCTCTGTAAAAGATCAATAAAATATATTTAAAAAAAGAAAGAAAACAATCCCATTTACCATTGCCACAATAAATTAAGATATTTAAGAATAAACTTAACGAAGGAGGTAAAATATAGGACATTGAAACAAGAGACAGAGTAAGGTATAAACAAGTGAAAGAATATACCTTGTTCATGACTTGGTAGAACCGTCATTAAAATATCCACATTAAATAAAGCAATCTACGGATTCAATGAAAACCCTATGAAAATACCAATGGCATATTTCAGAGATTTAGAATTAACCCTCCAAAAAATTTTTTTTAAATATATTTTATTGATTTTTTACAGAGAGGAAGGGAGAGGGATAGAGAGTTAGAAATATCTATGAGAGAGAAACATTGATCAGCTGGGGATGTGCCCGCAACCAAGGTACATGCCCTTCACCGGAATCGAACCCAGGACCCTTCAGTCTGCAGGCCAACGCTCTATCCACTGAGCCAAACCGGTCAGAGAAACCCTCAAAAATTTATATGATACCATAAAAAACCCAGAATAGCTGCAGCAATCCTGAGAAAGAAGAACAAAGTTAGAGGAATCACAATGCCAGGTATCAAGTTATATCACAAAACCGCTATACTCGCCCTGGCTGGTTTGGCTCTGTAGATAGAGCATCAGCCTGAGAACTGAAAAATCCCAGGATCAATTCCGGTCAAGGGTACATGCCCGGATTGTGGGCTTGATCCCCAGTGCGGGACGTGCAGGAGGCAGCTGATCCATGATTCTCTCTGCTTATGGATGTTTCTATCTCTCTCTCCTTCTTCCTTCCTCTCTGAAATTAATAAAAATATATATTTTTTAAAAAACCCTCTATACTCAAAGCTTGGTACTGGCACAAGAACAGGTATATGGATCAATGGAACAGCAGAGAGACCCCAGAAATTGACCCACACCATTATGGTCCACTTGACAAAGGAGGCAAGAATATACAATAGAGTAAAGAACTGAAAAATCCCAGGATCAATTCCGGTCAAGGGTACATGCCCGGATTGTGGGCTTGATCCCCAGTGCGGGACTTGCAGGAGGCAGCTGATCCATGATTCTCTCTGCTTATGGATGTTTCTATCTCTCTCTCCTTCTTCCTTCCTCTCTGAAATCAATAAAAACATATTTAAAAAATAAAGGAGTCAGACTTGTAGAAAGTCGAATGAACCCTCTATACTCAAAGCTTGGTACTGGCACAAGAACAGGTATATGGATCAATGGAACAGCAGAGAGACCCCAGAAATTGACCCACACCATTATGGTCCACTTGACAAAGGAGGCAAGAATATACAATAGAGTAAAGACAGTCTCTTCAATAAATGGTGTTGGAAAACTGGACAGATACATGCTAAAAAGTTTAAACTAGATCATCAACTTATACCATACACAAGAATAAACCCAAGATGAGTAAAAGACTTAAATGTAAGTCATGAAACTGAGAGGTCTGAAGTGGGCCAGGGTTGTGCATCTATGACATGAGGCCATAATATATCAAAAAAGATTTTATTTCCGACACCTGGATGCAGGTAGGCTGAGATCAAGAAAGGCATCAGCCAAGAGAGCAGGGACAGCTTTTTATTAATCATGCTGGCTGCAAGCTGCTCTGCTAATATAAGCGTCTAGTCCATCCTTGGTTCCTCCCATGCCAGGTGTCTTCTGGTTATCTGAGCTATGCTGTGCTCAAGGCTGGAAGCTTTCTGCAAGGTATCTGTTAAGCACAATAAGTCTTTCTCTGCCCTGTTTTATTCTCTTTAACCCTTTCAGAAATCATAATTTTTAAAGAAACCATAGGCAGCAAAATATCAAACATCTCTTGTAGCAATATGTCTATTGATACATCTCCCAAGGCAAAGAAAATAAACAAATGGGTTTAAATATATGTTTTAAAAAGCCTAAGCTGTAAAAAAGGAAAGAACTCTTGCCATTTGCAACAGCATGGATAGACCTGGAGATTATTATGCTAAGTGAAATAAGCTAGTCAGAGAAAGATAAATATATGATCTCACACATATGTGGAATCTAATGAACAAAATAAGCTGATGAACAAAACAGATCCAGAGATACAGAAGCATGGAACAGACTGAAGAATTTCAGAGGGAAAGTAGGATGGGAGGCTGGGGAAGAGCAATTAACTAGGAAACTTATATGCATATATGCATAGTCCATAGATGCCAGGAGCCAGTCCATTCTTGCTGTTTCAAGGGACCTGGCGTATATAGCATACTGTTCTTAATATGTTTGCTCACCTTCTTGGCACTATGTGTTTTAACCAAGGTCACCTCTCTGAGAAAGGTTGTTTCCCCAGGTAGGGATTTTCCCCTGAAGTTAGGGCGGGAATAAACCTCTTAACTGCCAGGTGGGGAGAACCTAGCGAGAGAACATGGCTAGAGAACCTGGCTGGAGAACCTGGACAGAACCTGGCTGGAGAACCTAGCGAGAGAACATGGCAAAAGATCCTGGACAGAACCTGGCTACAGAACTTGCCTGAAGAACCCGGCTACAGAACCTGGCGACCGAACCTGGCTGGAGAACGTGGCTGGAGAACCTAGCAAGAGAACATGGACACAGAACTTGGCTGGAGATTGTGGCTAGAGATCCTGGCAAGGATGCTGATCAACTGAACACTGTCTCTGTGTCATTCCTTCTTCGCCAACTCCGTCCACACCTTTGGGGACCCCTGGACCTGCTGGGGTTGGACCCCAGTACATAGACAAACAACAGAATGGTGATGGACTAGGTGGGTCAGGTGCATGGTGGAAGGCGTCATTTGGGGGAGGGGAGGCGGCAAACAATAAGGACATCTGAAATATTTTCAACAATAAAGACAAATTTAAAAATAAATAAAATGCAAGTTTCTAGGTGGTAATATTATTATTTTTAAAACAATATATTTATTGATATTTTTACAGAGAGAAAGGGAGAGGGATGAGACATAGAAACATCGATCAGCTGCCTCCTGCACCCCCCTCTACTGGGGATATGCCCGCAACCAAGGTACACGCCCTTGACCAGAATTGAACCTGGGCTCCTTCAGTCCGCAGGCCGACGCTCTACCCACTGAGCCAAACTGGTTAAGGCAGTAATTCTTATTAAAAAAAAAACAACAAAAAAAAAACCCAAAACCTCAGCTATGTGAGCAAAAATAAAGATTATTAAATATCTAGATATTTTGTAATAAGGTAAAATACTGAAACATTCATTGCTAGACAAGTCTTATGTTCATCTACTTTTGGCTTTTTATTACAAAGAAGCTATCAAATAGATTTGGAGCTGTTGATGACTGTATTATATATTAGAAAGATATCCCTTAAAAGTTTGAGATATTTGCCAATAGAGAAGCCTATGTTTACAAATTTATAAAATGCATTTGCCAATGTAAGGAATGCTAATTGTTTATTTTTAGTTGTCCCTAAAAATTAAATCTTCTAATAATTTTTTAAAATTCTAATTAAGTTGGAAAAAAAACAATGATTTTAGCAATAGAAGGTATATAGCATGGAGATACATTTTTTAAAAGAAAAAGGAAGCAACTGAGTTGTCCTAAAACTAGTTATTTCTGAATGGGTAAAAAGAAGCAAAGTAAAA